AGAGGGTAATACTTCCTCCGTTCTGTTTTACTTGTCAAATTTGACTTGACATACCTATTAAAAAACAAAGATTAGTATAATGAGTTTACTATTTTATCCTTATTGATAGATAGAGTCTTAAACATATTTACTCACTACATTTTCAAAACATTAACTCAATGTTAAAAAAATAATATAGGGTATAATAAGAAGAAACAATTTGTCCTTTTTTGATTTATTAAAAATGGCAAGTAAAAAAGGAAATCAAATTAGGAAGTACTCTCCATGTCTCTATTTACTTGTCCATTTTTTATTTAACACTTATTAAGAAAATTATAATTAACCTAATGAGTTTACCATCGTACCCCTATTAATTGATAGAATTTTAAAATTGATTTAATTCTACTTTTTCAAAAACATTAACTATCTAACTAAATTGTGGATATAATAAAGGTAAAGAATATTATCTTTTCTTGATTTGTCAAAAAATAACAAGTATAAAAAGACTAGTAAAAAATCAAATTTGAACAAGTAAAAAAGGAATAATGAGTATTTGATGAGTAAATAGGGACGGAGGAGTAATACACATTGTTAGGTGCGGAAAGCAGAGAATCCAGAATTAGATGCAAACAATGGAATAACAGTTGTGCTGAGGGCACAGGACAGCCACATATTTCACTACAGATAAGAGGAGATAATAATGTTTCTCTTCTGAAATACGGTACATTTTTTTTTTTCTTTCTTCCACAATTTTAAAATAACACAATTTGATCCTTTAAATGCTTATTCAAGGTGCAACAATTTTCTCTTGGTTTGTATATGTATATATATTTGGCAGTTAGAGTTTAACCTAAATGATCCTCTCTTGTTTCATGTTTTGTGGTCTACTATCTTTAATTTCCTCTTTGTAATCGACATTGTGTGTGGTTTATTTTATCTCAAAACTAAACATAATGCCTGTCATAGCTGCAGAAATGTTTGTATGGTTGTTCCTATTCCTTTGAAATCTTTCATTTGCCACCTGCAAAACCTTTAGGAAAATAGAGGCAAATTCTTCCTTATTTACTTGGGTTCAACTTGTGAACCACTAATTTCGACTTAATAATAACATAACCAGTGTAACCCCACTGGGGTGAGGTCGGGAGAGGGTGGTGTGAGAAACTGTTTCCCATATACTTTTTATAAAAAGTCAAGTATATAAAGCAAATACAATAATTTCAACACGGAACGTTAATATAAGTGGAAGACTAGTAGAATTTCAATGATTCTGACGGTTCCGTCAGCTCCAGATACTTAACTCATAATTTCAGAAGTGCAATGAATTCAATCTTATGAACTTAAATGTTGAACCCATCATATCTAAATTCTAGAGCCAGCTCTTGATACAAATAGATGAAACATAGATATGCTCTTTAACTTGCCTCAACTCACATTTATGTCCTCCAACTTTGGGGTACACAAATAGACACTTAAACTTGTAAAAAGTTGAACAAATAACACAAACGTCTTATGTGGCATCTTACATGGCAATTTGCGTCATACATGGTGGTCCTATGTGGATAATGCCATGTAGGACTCATGTGTCTACTTGTTCAACTTTATACAATTAAGTGTCTACTTGTGCATACCCAAAATTGGAGAGCATAAATGTGAAATGTGACCAAGTTAAATGCATATTTAAGTACTATGCCATACAAATATTATGGCCAAGAGAGATGGTTTTAATGTCTTCTGGTCAAACTAACTGTAAAGTTAGCTCATCTCTGTACAATCTCTTGTAGGGCTCTATTCAATCTCTCTTCAGTTTTCATGAACTGGAGTTCCAGGTTCTGTTGTAGAGAACAACACTACAGGTGCAGGGGATGCTCCTAGGCAGTCGGAAATTCTGATGTCTAGGCTTTGAAAAGGAGGGTTGGGCAATACTTCAGGGAAAGTTTCACTTGCTGCGAACAGTGTAGCCGTTTGTCTAACATTGCCTTCAAATGGATTTTCTGACTTAACATTAGAGTTGCCTTTCTCTTCACCAAAAATTTTTGCTATTGCAGAAAACTTTTTCCATATTGAATCATCAGTGACTAAGATTTCTCTATTTTGATAAAGAAAGTTGAGGAAGAATAGGAGAAGAGCAGAACCTGCTGATACACCAGCTATGAGGAAAAGTCCCTTAAAACTGTCTAGCGTGAGGCTATCAGATGTTATATCCATTATATCTTTCTGTGGACAATCTGTTTCATTCCCAAACCATTTCTGAATTATGTTATTCATATCTCCCTCCATCACCTTCAAGACTGCTCTTGATACATCTGGTACCAAAGGTGATCCTTTTGGAAATGCCCGTAAGAAGTTGTGTGATAATAAAAGACTAGATTGAGTGAACTACCGTGGATTGTATAATTTCAATTATGGAACATTTCCAGGCGCAGAGAGAATCTTACAAATCCAAAACCAGCAGTCTTGTAAGTCGGACCAACCATAGTATACTTCCTGCAGTATTTATTGAGGAAGAGTCTGAGATAAGGTAGTTCATCAACAATTGCACCTACACCTCCATTTTTACTACCCCTTGAGAGTGCATCATTATACTCTTCCAATGTGCTATAACTCCTAAATTTGGAGCTGTCAAATTGCATGCCCTTCAAGACATCTTTGACACAGGAACCTTTTTGGTACCCTACATATTCTCCATTCTTGATGAGATCATTGAGGTCTGTTACAGTAGGTTGAAGCTTTTGTGCTGTTAACATAGATGTTAAGCTGGCTGTATAGCTTGATGTCAGCACCAGAACCACGAAAACCCACACAATCAGCACAAATCTTGTCAAGTTACTTGTTACCCTCTCTCCTGCAATAACCAGCCATATATATGATTTGTTGAGAAATTCTAAAGTTCTCATCTATAATTTGCTTTGAGTTAGAGACTTACTATGAGCAAAAACGAGAGTTGAGAAGGAAAACCATAATATCATCCCAACTTGCTTGCATTTGGGTCCTCGAAACTCTTTGTTTACACGATGCTCCAGTACCCACACAACAAAACCAATGAAAACAAAGAATGCTCCAGTTGTCATCCAAAGCTCTCTCTTTAGAGGTTTCACGAAAATCCAAGCACTCTTCCTGTCATCATCCTTTACTGGCACAACTGCAGAAAAACCTAACTCTGTAAAAGGTAATGTGAAATCCACATACTTGGATCGGTTCGCTGAAATGGTCACGTCACCTATAACTGCATCATGTTTCTGGTTTAAGTAAACAATGGTTGGTTCAGTGCTTTTGCCAAAGAAAAAGCAAAATAAGAAAATCCAAAGGGAGCATGTGGGTAAGGTATTCCGCCAAAGAGGCTAATTCAAACAAGGATTAGATATTACCTCAAAAAAGAGCTTATAAGCAAGATCATCATATCCTGGAGAATTGGGGCTACGTGTTATTGGAACTGGAACAAATTCGTAAGGGACAGCATAAGGCAAAGATTGGATGACTTCTTTGAAGACATCTGCACAGAAACCAGTTGCAGTAACTGCTTGTGTTTTTAAATCTCTTTCCACTTTAATGAATTCCTGCAGCCCTCCTTTGACAGGAACTCCAACCCTTGGCTTCTTCCCGCTTGTGGGTATTTCCCAGCCTCGGAGAAATAGTAGATTCACCAGGCCAAATGATGGCTCCTAGTTGCTTTTTATTACTCTTAGCTGTTTTACCATCTATCTCCAGTTTATATGAAATTTCATCCTTCTCTGTCCAGAATCCAATGCTTTTCTGTCCTGTCCCAACTATATTCACAATTTGATATGGAGATGGATGCAATTCTCCATTGATGAGACGGAACTCACCACTTAGTGCTGTTTTTAGCACTGTGTTTTGCATAGAGTCAAGGAGCAGAGATCCCAATTCTGAGGTTCCAAGTGCATCTAGGTCTGTTAAGTTCTCTCTAGTGTCCGGTTTCTTCAATTTTGGGATAGCAGTGCTGCCCATTTCCACTACTGCTTTTGCTAATGCGGTGATGCTATCATATGCCCATAGCCCAAAAACATTGAGTTCAACTGGATCCATGTCTGGATACACTTGACGAAATCTCTTTCTCCATCTCTTGGTGAACATGTCAAGCTCATTTGATCTTGGAACATAAGATTTTACACCCAGAACACCTTGCATTGATAACTCAATTACTGAAGAATCTACCAGGTCCAGAAGACTTGTTAGCACATCTGTGATTATCCATGCATATCCATTGCTCATCATCCCGACTTCTTTGGCCTTGAAGAAAAGGCGGGAGGCAAGAGATGATTGTAAGTGCACGATGAACACCCTGGTCTGCATTGTATTCAACTTGTACAACTCCCTGAGGATTTGATCATCACTGTCTGAAGGAGAAATACCACTTCTATAGGAGACTAAAGTGCTGTTTTCCAGCAAGGCATCTGTCAAATGTGGAAGTATCCCGCTTCCATAGGGGCTATCCTCATAGATTACTACAACCTCCCTCCAATTATAGTTTTTAACAATTGCTGCAATGGCTTTAGTCTGGCTGGAAGAAGGAAGTGCTCCTCTGATTAAGAAGGGATTTTCCTTGACGGAAAGTGAAGGACTTGTTGCTGGAGAAATGATAGGGACTTTTACTCAGTTCCCTAAGTCAATAGCAAAATCAGTTTGTGTAGACATTTGTGGCCAAAAAATGGCTTGTACCTGAACATCCTTTAGCAAGTATATGGCTGAACATACACAATCAGACTATAAGAAATCGTCTGAACAGAAAACCAAAGGGAAAAAAGAAGAAAAGAGAGAAAGATATGCTAGCTTAACAGAAGTAAATCATGGAGCTGAATTAATTTACCTGCAGATGCTGCCTCAACATCATCTTTCTTGGAATCCCTCAAGTGAGGGGCTTATCCTAATAACTCTGGGACTAGCGGCGGCATGGTAATCTTCAAGAGCTAGTAAGATAGATATGTGCATTACTTTTGCCACAACTGTTTCCATATCAAGAACTATACCCACATCCACCTTTACAACACTAGTTTCATCTTCACCTCTTATTGGAATTACATAGTGGCAAAAGCTAATAATGGAGACAAGTTGAATGAAGAGAATTAGGCAGTAGTATCTTTGATTTTGCATTTGAAAAACTCTGGTAGCAAGTAGTCTGAGGGTTGGGAAAGAAGCAATTTTGCTTGTGCAAGTAATTAACCACTTTCTAGAGATGTGTCTAAAAATCTTTTAACTGTGTGGCTTTAGATATATCGTTTCAGAATCTGGGAACTTCATATACTTGGACCAGTAAATACCTTACAAAACTATAATAAGGCAATGTAGAATGAAAAGTCAAAGATAAAGTTTCGAAAGAATAATTGAGAGAGGACTTTTCATACATTCTTAACTAGTAAGTTCCCTCCTCAATTTGACCCAATAAAAATCTGACAAAATGAACGCAGTGATAAAAACTCATTTGGTTGACCTTGGAATGGTGCTTATTTTACATGGTTCCTGTTTATACTTGGTCATTAGTAACTTGCTTGGACACCAAATTATGAAACAATACCCACCATTGGATCGAGTGGCCGATCTAGGATTTTCATTCATGGGGGATTTGTAAATAAAAATGTAAAAAGTATTAACTTTCTTGGACACTCAATAATGAAACAACCACCACCATTGGCTCTAGTGGCATGCTGATTCAGGATTCACTCTGAGAGTTCCGAAAAATAAAAATGTAAAAGATAATGCAGTCCTTGAGAATTGAACCTTGGACATTAGGGTGTATTTTGAATTTCCTGAATTGCAGAACCTTTTGCATGTTATTTAGGGGATTCACAATTATATGTACATCAACATAGAAAATATATCCTATATATACATTTTAATTTTTTGTCGAGGGGGTTAGGGTGAACACTCTCCGCCTCCGGCCCTTGATTGGCTCATTGACACTGTTATTGTTAGTGCAAGAGGAAACTGCTAGGGAAGTTGCCTATGATATATGTTGAAGCAGATGGGATATAAGATTCTGATTTGATGGGTTCAATATTTAGGTTCTTACCATTGAGCCCATTACACTTTGAAATTATGGGTTCATGTTCTATTATTTATTAAAATTTTAGTGATTTGTCACATATACTTTTATGATCCGTGTCGAAAATGCAAATCTTATACTTATATTCGCCATCCGCCCTGTGTAACTGAACATATTACTGTTTGTCTTCCATGTAGCAGTGATCCTAAAACCTTTCCTTATTTATAATCTGTAACTATGTTCTTATCCTCTAGGCTAGTTCTAGCACCTGCATTATAAATTCACTACTACTAGATCTTTCTTTCTTATTTAATTTGAGATTTGCAGATTGCTTTTTCTCATCAAAAAATTGCACAAATCTCTCATGTGGTTATTCACATGTAACCCCCATTATTTCATATTCTATATAAGAATTATGTAATCAAAAAATAATTTAGCATCTTATGTGTTGATTTTATTGTTTTTGTTCTATTATTGTAACATAACAAAACTACCTCAATTGAATTTCTTGAAAACGGATGCATGTATTGAATTCTTTCATGCCACACATATAACTTCTTTTAATTATATTCCAAACATAAGTACAACAACAACAACAACATAAGTAGTGATGAAAAAAACAAAGTGAACATAAAATTGCTAAAGAAACAACTAAGAAAAAGTAAGGGTTGAATCCATCTAATGGAATCCTGGAGGCCACCTCTTGATGCTAATATTATGGCCAAGAGTGACAAAGAAATAATGTAATCTGATTTAACTAACCCTAAAGCTAGCTCATCTCTGTACAATCTCTTGTAGGGCCCTATTCAGGTGTGTCACAATTATGTTAGCAGCTATATGTGTCATCTTTCTTCAATCGTGCCTGACATTGTTTCATGAACTGGGGTTCCAGTTTCTGTTGTAGAGAACCCTTCAGAAGCAGGGGATTCTCCTAGGCCATCGGAGATTCCGATTTCTGGGCTTTGCAAAGGAAGGTTGGGTGATAATTCAATAGAAGCATCACTTTCTGCAAACACTGTAGCCGTTAGGCTTTCATTCCCTTCAGATGGCTTTTTTGACATAGAATTAGAGTCGTCTCTCTTTAAATCAAAGACTTTTGCTATTGCACAAAGCTTCTTTCCTATTGAATCATCAGTGACTAAGATTTCTCTATTCTGATAAAGGAAGATGAGGAAGAATAGGAGAAGAGAGGAGCCTGCTGATACACCAGCTATGAGGAAAAGTCCCTTAAAACTATCAAGCGTGAGGCTAGCAGCTGTAGCCATTCCATCTTGCTTTGGACAATCTGTTTCATTCCCAAACCATTTCTGAATTATGTTATTCATAGTCTCTCCCTCTATCACCTTCAAGACTGCTCTTGAGACGTCAGGTACCAAAGGAGATCCTTTTGGAAATGCCTGCAAGAAGTTGTGGGAAAATTAAAGATTAGATCATTGAGTAAACCACTAACCACTCTAAATAAATGTCAACACTTTCTGAAACATCAGTTAAGTACAACAATCTTACAAATCCAAAGCCGGCAGCCTTGTATGTCGGACCAACCATAATATACTTCCTGCAGTATTTGTTCAGCAAGAGTCTGAGATAAGGTAGTTCATCAACAATTGCACCAACACCTCCATTTTTACTACCTCTTGAGAGTGCATCATTATACTCTTCCAATGTGCTATAACTCCTAAATTTGGAGCTGTCAAATTTCATGCGTGTCAAGACGTCTTTGACAAAGGAACCTTTTTGGTACCCTACATATTCTCCATTCTTGATGAGATCATTGAGGTCTGTTATAGTAGGTTGAAGCTGTTGCACTGTTAACATAGATGTTAAGCTGGCTGTATAGCTTGATGTCAGCACCAGAACCACGAAAACCCACACAATCAGCACAAATCTTGATAAGTTACTTGTTATCTTCTCTTCTGCAACAACCAGTCATATATAGGATTTGTTGAGAAACAAGGAGAAATCTTAAACTTTTGGTCTATAATTTGATTTGAGTTAGAGACTTACTATGAGCAAAAACGAGAGTTGAGAAGGAAAACCAAAATATCATCCCAACTTGCTTGCGTTTGGGTCCTCGAAAATCTTTGTTTACACGATGTTCGAGTACCCAAACCACAAAACCAATGAAGACGAATAATGCTCCGGTTGCTATCCACAGCTCGGCCTTTAAAGGTTTCAAAAAGATCCAAGCGTTCTTCCTATCATCATTCCTTACAGGCACAACTGCAGAAATACTCGACTCTGAAAAAGGTAATGTGAAATCTACATACTCAGATCGGCTTGCTAAAATGGTAACATCACCTACAACTGCATCATATTCCTGGTTCAAGCAAACATTGATTATTTCAGTAGTTATTGTTGGTCACAAAAGCAGAACATAGATAAGAAGTCCAAAAAAGGAGCATGTAAGTGAGTTATTCAGCTGAAGAGGTTAATTTTACCTTAGAAGTGATCTTGTGAACAAGATCATCATAGTTTTGAGAAGTAGGGCTATGTGCTATTGGAAATGGAATAAATTCATAGGGGACAGCATATGGCAAAGATAGGATGACTTCTTTGAAGACATCTGGACCTAAACCAGTTGCAATTACTGCTTGTGTCTTTGGATCTCTTTCCACTTTAATGAATTGCTCCAGCCCTCCTTTGTCAGGAACTCCAACCCTTAACTTCTTCCCACTTGTGGGTATTTCCCAGCCTCTCGGAACAATAGTAGATTCACCAGGCCAAATGATGACCCCTAGTTGCTTATTATTAGTTTTAGCTGTTTTACCATTCATCTTCAGTTTATGCGAAATGCCATCCTTCTCTGTCCAGAATCCAACGACTTTCTCTCCTTTCCCGATTATATTCACAATCTGATATGGGGATGGCTGCAGTTCTCTATCAACGATACGGAAATCACCACTTAGTCCTGATTTTAGCTCTGTGTTTTGCATAGAGTCAATGAGCAGAGATCCCACTTCTGAGGTTCCAAGTGCATCTAGGTCTGTTAAGTTCTCTCTAGTGTCTGGTTTCTTTAATTTTGGGATAGCAGTAGTGCCCACTTTCTCTACTGCTTCTGCTAATAAGGTGATGCTATCATATGCCCATAGCCCGAAAACATTGAGTTCTACTTGGTCCATGTCTGGATACTCTTGACGGAATCTCTTTCTCCATCTCCTGGTGAACATGTCAAGCTCATTTGATCTTGGAACATAAGATTTTACACCCAGAACACCTTGCATTGATGACTCAATTACTGAAGTATCTACCAGGTCCAGAAGACTCGTCAGCACATCTGTGATGATCCATGCATATCCACTGTTCATCATCCCGGCTTCTTTGGCCTTGAGGAAAAGGCGGGAGGCAAGATTTTCTTGCAAGTGCACAATGAACACCCTGGTCTGCATTGTCTTCAACTTGTATAGCTCCCTGAGGATTTGATCATCATTGGCTGAAGGAGAAATACCACTTCTATAGGAGACTAAAGTATTGATTTCCAGCAAGGCATCAGTTAAATATGGAAGTATCCCAGTTCCATAGGGGCTTTCCTCATAGATTACTACAACCTCCCTCCAATTATAGTTTTTAACAATTGCTGCAATGGCTTTAGTCTGACTGGAAGAAGGAAGTGCTCCTCTGATGAAGAAGGGATTTTCCTTGACTGTAAGTAAAGGACTTGTTGCTGGAGATATTATAGGGACTTTTACTCTGTTCCCTAAGTCGATCACAAAATCAGTTTGAGTAGACATTTGTGGCCCAAAGATAGCTTGCACTTGAACATCCTTTAGCAAGTATATGGCTGCACATACACAATCAGACGTATAAGTAATTGTCTGAACATCTCTTTCAAAATAGAAAAACTAAAGGGAAAAGTAATATCTTAGAGAAAAAAGTGAATCTTTTGAAGCAAAGAGCTGAATTTTAACATAGGTAAAGCTTAGAGCTGAATTTTACCAGCTGATGCTGCTTCAACATCATCTTTCTTTGAATCCCTGATATGAGGAACTATCCTTATGGCACCGCGACTAGTGTTGGCATGATAATCTGCAAGAGCTAGTAAGATAGATATGTGCATTACTTTTCCCACTTCTGTTTCCAGATCAAGAATTATTCCCATCTTTACAGCACTAGTGTTATTATCTTCACCTCTTATTCCAATTACATAGTGGCAAAAGCTAATGATGGAAGCAAGTTGAAAGAAAATAATTAGGAATCTGCAT